GCTCCACTGGAGGAGGCAGCAGGGGGCAGCCACCACCCTGGTACCTGTTCCAGAAGAATCTGGGTCCTGGGGCACAGTCAGGTTGCAGTTGGCAGGGCTCTCGTCGTGGCCCTGGGGCTGCCACTCAATGCAGTATGTGAGGCCCGGGGCCTTGGCCGGCCAACTCATAGTGGTCCCATGGGCTCCGGCACTGATATTCAGAGGTCCCGGTTCTGCAAGGAGACGTGGGGCGGGGGGCACCTCAGGACAGCCACCTCAGTCCACTGCCCACCAAGGCTCCTGGAGCCCCGCCCCCTCTTGCCCAGCTCTACCCCACAGGGCCCAGAGCGTCTGTACCTCTGTCTCCCGACACTGGGAGCTGCCCCGTGGGAGGCTGGGCACAGAGGGGACAGTGGGGCTGTTTGAATGAGTTGACACCCCATCAGTGCTACCTGGACTGATGCACTCACTGCACCAGCCTGGTGGGCGTCTCCTGCTCCCGCAGATGCCTGGCCAGCCCCCACCCACCTCACCCAGCGGGGGTTGGGGCATGAGCAGATCGCAGAGGCCGAGGACACGCCCACTCAGTCCCCTGGGTGCATGGCTCCCATTCCCTAGAGCCAGGGCACCTGCAGCAACCTCAGAGAGACGAGCAGGGCTTCCGAACACCAGTTGTGCCCCCAGGCCAGTGCCACGTATGTTACAGGCACCACTTTGCTACAGGAAGTGGGACCATGATTACCCCAATGATATAGAAACTGAGGCTCAGAGCGGGAGAGTCACCAACCCAAGGTCACACAGCAAAGCCATGGCCCAAACCAGGCCAGCAGCTGGCAGACCCTGGCAAGTGACTTCGCCTGCCTGAGCCTCGATTGTCTCAGCTCTTAAATGGGCATCATTGTAGCAGCCCTGCCCTCAGAGGGTGCTGAGTGCTCTATAGGGCCAGGGCCAGGGCCAGGCTGGGCCGAGCGAGGCACTCACCTCAGGCATGAAATTTAAGGAGGAAAGAAGGAGAACTCAGTCATCAAGAGAAACACTGTCTTAATGAAATCTTTTCTAAAAATCAAAATGAATGCAAAAATATGTGATGGGCACTATTCATAGTCACTAAGAGGTGGAAACAGCCCACATGTTGATCAGTGGATAAGCAGGTGAACAAAACGTGGTCCATCCAGACGGGGGAACTCAGCCGTAAAAAGGACCAAAGCACTGACACACGCGACAATGTGGATGAACCGAAGACGTCACGCTGAGCGCGAGAAGGCAGGCACAAAAGGCACCTAGTGTGTGACTCCATCTACATGAATGTCCAGAACAGGCAAATCCATAGGGACAGAAAGTAGATTAGTGGTTGCCAGGGGCTGGGGGAGGGAGGAGAGGGAGCCACTGCCAATGGGATTTAGTTTCTTTTGAGGGGGGATGTCCTGGAATTAGAGGTGGTGGTTGCACAACATTGTGAATGCATTAAATGCCCCTGATGGCACATGTTAAAATGGTTAATTTCGCTATGTGAATTTCACCTCAAATATATGCATACTAGAGGCCCGGTGCACAAAAATTTGTGCACTTGGAGGGGAGAAGGGGGTCCCTCAGCCCGGCCTGTGCCCTCTCGCAGTCTGGGACCCCTCAGGGGATGACCACCTGCTGGCTTAGGCCCGCTCCCTGGGGGATTGGGCCTAAGATGGCAATCAGACATCCCTCTGGCAGCCCGGCAGCCCCCAACCTCTCCTTTTTTTCTTTTCTTCTTTTTCATTCTGGGATTTACTTACCTTCTATGGCTGTCACTGGAGCTGAGAGCCGGCTTTAGCTCTGAGGCTTGGCTCCAGCTCTGAGACCTCAGCTGATGAAAGCTGATGTATCTGGGTTTGTTTGGCTTCTATAACTGAAACACTGTTACAGCTCCAGCTCTGAGGCCCGGCTGGCTGAAAACAGGATTCTGGGTTTGTTTAGGCTTCTATAATTGCAACATTGTTTCTTAGAGTGCAGCTCAGACGCCGGCAGCGGCAGGTGGGGGACCC